GCAGGTATTGAGGTGTGTTCTGTAGTGTCACCTATGTTAGCGTCACCTGATGTTATCACACCCAGCACTTCTGGACATTTGTCCCCATCCATTTGTGCTGTGGCTGGGTAAGATGCAGCTGTGGGTCTCAGCAGAGTCTTTGTGAGATCCCACTAGCTTTTGATTTGTCTTGCCTTTGCCATGCATTTATTTGATAAACCTGGATACTTCTACGGACTGAAGGATGCACACTTCTAGATTATTGGTTTCCTCTTAAAAACTGGTTCTTACGTGATCAGAAGTTGGATTTTTTTTTTTCTGTGTATTCTCCAGGTTTGGATGATGGAAATTTGCCCTGAGCTGAATTCAGCTGTTAACATGTTGGTAGAGCTGATTCTGTAGGATCTGTAAGCCACTCCTTTATAACACAGATAATATTCACATCCCAGAATTTCTCCTTATCAGAAAGGCTATTATTTTTTAAAAATCAGAGTCCTTTGGTCTTTTTATTTTCATATCTAGGTATAATAGACAGTTATGAGGACCTTGCTAATTGTTTTATGTTTACTTAGCTTTGAAACTGTAATTTTTTCTATTGAGTGTACTATATTCACTGTGTTCAAGTTTTATGACTTGTATTAGAAGCAGTGCACTGAACTGTCTGTGCACTGAAATAAGAACTCTAGCTATGACCCTGTTCAAATAAAACTTCTGCAAGATGAATGAAAAAAAATAATTATTATCTCTTAAAAATGCTTTAGTACTAGCTTCTAGAAATTTTTTTTTCATGATCACCATGGTCAGATATAAATATGCATCCCATTGTGGAATTTTGTGGCAAATTCATTTAACACCAGGGGTGCAGGTGTTAAATCTTGGACCTCAGTCACGTCAGAAGTGCACTCCAGGCAGTGTTATGTAGCCTTAGGTATGACCATGACATCACCCCATGAACCCTGATGAGTTGCTTCCCCACACATGAAAGCCATCTTTTGATTCTTAATGTCTTTAGTTGGGATTCCCTTAAAGTAGATGCTGTGTAAAAGATTTTGTTGCAAGTTTATTTAAGATGTCAGAAAGCACAGAGAGGATGGAAATGACACAGAGAAAGAGATGTCAATAAAGGATCCATTAATGAACAGGATCTATCATCAGCAACTGAGGACCCTCCAACAGACTGTGCAGAATGAGTCTCAATCCCACTGTAGAACAAGAGGCTGGATGGAGTGTGTATCCATTACCTCCTGCTGCTTACTGGTTGAGAATCACTCTTCAGGTGTCAGTTTCTAGTCTATCGTCAGAGAATGTTAGAAGGATGCAAGTAGCCTCTGACCCAAAGGAGAATTGACTAGAATGACCTCCTGTGTGGATCAAAAGATGTGGGAGGGTGGGGACCCTCAGCAGTTTTGAGACTAATACTCAAGAGCATAGTCCATAACTGCATATTTGCATTTATGGTTCTATAAAAGAATTTGCATATGACATGTGCCTGGTTCTGGGACCTCACCATCCTTAGTGCAAAGCAAGTAATCTATACAAAGAAGATTTGATTTCAACAATGGAAATGACAATAACTGTAGTGATTGTGCACCTAAAACCTGCAGGCCTGGCCTTAGGGGAAACAGATTCCATCCACCTTCTGCACCTTTTCTGAAACTCTTCCTCCCTGCCTCTGCTGAAGACTGTACATCCTCTAAGAGATTTTGAGGCCCCAGCTTAGTTATGCTGTCCTCATTTTTTAAATTTAAATTTGATGTTATCAGTTGTTCTTTCTTAGGGGAGCCTGGTAAGAAAAAAGAATATTTAAAAAATAAAATGTTAGCAGTAAATTTTATGATCCCTTTCTATCTTAGTCATGTTAAAGTGAAGATATTGTCTGTGAACTAAAATTCTTATAATAATCACATGGATAAGGAAATCCATGAACATTCATGTGTACATGCACATGTAAAACTGTGTACATTCCAAGATCAAATCATGTTTAGAGTCTACATGTATATTCACATAGAAATTATATTTTAAAACAGATTTGAGAGTAATCACTTCCAAATGACATAAACATTTGTATAGGCATTTCCTTTTTGTACAGCAACAATTAAGCTGTTAAGATGTCTAGATCTCCCACTCCACCCATGGAGTCAATCTGAGGTCCAAATTGCTTCTGCATCCTCACTTCAAGTACCCAGTCATCCATTCTTGCCATTCCTTTTGAGAAACTAAATATTTCACATTTCTGGCATAGCTATCCATTGTCTGAGACCAACCTGAATAAGGTAGCAGTTCGTTTTTTTGGTAATCAGCTCCAAGCCATAGGGAAAGGATGCATTTGTTCAAGATGTAACAACCCACATATGCCTGGCCTGCTGACATCTTCCATGTTTACAGAAAGTGGCGTGCTGAAGTGGTATGAGAGAGCCAGTTGTTAGCTAACATTTCTCTCCATCCCATTGGTGGCTTAAACTTGAGCATGGCAGGATAATTTATACATTGGAAATCTGAACACAGTGTACTACAAATCATCACCACAACCTTGCAATCCCCCTCCCACCCACTGTTAAGTATTTACCAGGGTATCACTGGAGCAGGACTTTTATAATTCACAAAAAGAAGGCAGACCCCTTTTGCCAAGGTAACTCTAGTCCCAGACAATAACTATTGATGCTCTAACCTCTGATGTGGTCCCTGCACCTCACATGTGCCTGGGCTGGTGGCTTGAGTTGGACTGTATGTTGTTGTGTGGTGCTGGGATTCCTAACAAACATGCCCTCCTGGGTGAAGTTTACCCCAGTGCAGACACACACCGTCATTGGAAGCAATGGCCACTGTTATAGTGTGGAGGCCCCATAGGAGATGTCTAGGGTTTGCCAAATGTTTTTTGTCTGTTTTTTTTCTTGGTCCACTCATTTCTAAAGATACTTCAAAGACCTATCATACAAGTAAACTGAGGATAGACTGAAAGTCACAAAGGCTCTTTAAACCATCCATCTCTATAGCACAAGCCCAGTTCTCTGAGGTAGAGATACCTCTTCCAGTGCTGTCTCTCCCAGGACATACCACTGGGAAGCCCTGCCAGACATTTCCTTGTTAACATGGTTCAGTGTGATTTCCTTCTTAATTAAGGAGGGTAGTTTGCCCTATTTTATCCTCAGGCATATGGGACAGAAGAATACTCTGGCCTTTGCACTCTTGAGGAAAACAGGAAGACAGAAAATCAACACAGATCAAATTTCAATAGTCTTGAGCATGAGAATTCAAAGGGAAAAAGAATCTTCTCAGTACTCCCTAATTACCTTGGGTTTTAAAGAGGCCTACATTTTATAACCAGGGCCTTGTTTTGCAAGGATCCATAGGGATACCTTAAAATGGATTGCATTTAGTTCCTTGGGATGGAACATTTAGTTCCTTGGGATGGAGCCATAGTGTAATTAGTCATGAATGATGAAAATGCATAGGTAACTTAAGACACATTGAACCAGGCAGAAACTCACCCTTAACCACTACCTTCCACTCTCCAACCCTGATCAAATGTCGATGAAGTTTTAAAGATGGAGAAACAGACAAGTATGCTAATGACTCAAAATTAAACAACAAAAATGCAAGAAACTGGCCAATTTGTCATCCAAAGTTGCCCTGCACACATTACTGGTTGTATCATACTTTTGTTCCACACTATTTTTCTGTGGCTTACCTGGTTCCTCAAGAGGCAGCCTGGAGGATATCACAACCTAAGAAAGAAATGGGAGAAGGCAGAAAAGAGGAAGGGCAGGAATGAGAAGCTTTCCAGTGAGTTAAAATTCTTTCTATTGTTCCTACAAAAATAGGAACAGAAAACAATCTGATGGCCTTGCTATGAGAGTCAAAGATAAAGTTAATACCATGATGTTCAGTGAGGTTGTGTCCCGTCCACTCCCACTTTCAAGGGTCTTAAAGATGATGATATGGACAGACCTTGATCCTAGAGGGTTCAAGCCCATATCAGAGAGCCACAGAGGGAGAGCACTGGTGTGAGCTTGGCATCCCAGTTCCTTAGCAGACAGGCCTTGGAACTAATCACTCCATGACTGTCCTAAATGACAGTCCTCAGTCATACCATTTAACAGTAAGACAGCCTGGGACACCATATATCAGAAATAGTTTCTGAAACATGCTTTTAAACAAAAAGTGGTACTCCTCTCTAAAGCATTTGCATGGAAGAGGACTTGACAAAAACCCATTTCATAAGCAAGGGCTGGGTTGGTGCTTGGAAAGCCTTCAACACAAGTAGCAGGAGAGGCTTTACTTTTGCTGTGGGTTTAAGTCCCCACATAAGTACCTATTTTCTAGAAACACACTTGCCACTATACCCTCTAGTTCATAAAATTCCTAGAGGAAAAGAAGCTGGGTTTTGACAGACCTCAGACTCCTAAATGTATGTTTATGGAAGTCAAAGACATAAAGGATACCTGTGTAGGGTCTTGTTCCCACATGGCATCCAACACCAGCATTCAAATGAGGAAAACTCTAAAGCTAAGCATCTACCTCTAGCAAACCAAGGGAAATACTGACAGCTTTTTTTTTTTTTAAATTAATCAAAAGGCTACCTCAAGTTGCACACAGGTGGCTCTTTGTGAGTCTATACTAAACAACTACTTACATTTTTAAGCAGTTGATTATAATCTGAATCATGGCAAGTTTTCCTAAAAGAGCAAAGTTGATAAATACTCTCTCTCTCTCTCTCTCTCTCTCTCTCTCTATATATATATATATATATATATATATATATATATATAATTTTCTCTCCACTACAAGAGAGTAACATTTCTGATTGAACACGGATGGGTAAAGGCTGTATGTGTGCATGCACAGGGGTTGGGGGTAGCAATCATGAAACCTGCCTACTTTGGAAAATGCATGTACACCATAAAGCATCTTAAGGAAGCAAAGATGTATTCCAAACTCCTTAAAATAAAAATGTTCTGAGAGGCACTTAGGCAACTTCAAGGGAAGCAAAACTCAAGAATGAAGAATACTGTAGTACAAAATTATGGCCAAAAATACTGTATTTTTAACCAGCAAGATCATTGGGGCATTATTATACAACATTAGGTGTTTTTGCAAAACTAGTTCCCATCCCCAAACAATAGACAATACATGCATTGAATGACATTTTAAGAACAGTAAATATGATTCTTTTAAATACTGTAAGTTAAAAATGTTTTCTGACAAAACTCCCTAAATACATGGTCTAGTCAGGGGTTCCAACGTGATGGGTGAGGAATCCAGCAAGAAGTTGCATTTAGAGAGTTCTTTGAGGAAAAGAAATCCACAAAAAACATGTGTTTCAATCCAAGTCACCTGGACAAAGTTACACAGTAATTTTCCATCTTTCTTTCCTAAACCTAAAAATATTCTACTGAAGAATAATACCTTCCTCCCTGTTATTATTTTCTGTCTACCAAAAACTTCTACCAAAGTCAGAATTCTTTATCCAAATAAAATCCAATTTTACCCAAGAGCTTGGGTTGGAATCATATGGGGAAATGGAGGCTACATGGTAAGAAAGGTAAGGAGGAAATTAATATTTGAGCACCTACTATGTGCTAGGTGTGTATGCATACTTGGAACATATGATTCTAGAGGCAAGAGTGTTATTGAAAGGGCAGTGGTAGTAGGGAAGAGAACAGGAAATGGTTACTCTGTGAGGAAAACAAATGACAAGTTTAGACTGTACTAAGTTAACTACTAAACAGCAGGTGTCTGGCTCCAAAAACATCTAGCTAATCATATACAACTAAGCCATTTCTTTTCCTAACTTGATGGAACTAAAATGAAATCCCCAAGACACAGGTACCAGGACAGATCTATTAACGCTACATATGCTGGAAATATGTAGAGATAGTTAAACATATGATATTCTTAGTTTTGATTTTGTGTGTGTTTCTAACCAAAGATATCTCTTTGGAAGAAAATATGAATGTATACCAAGCACACCTTATTTTCATGAATTTGAGATGTTATTAATTGCCAATTAAGTGGTTTAAGACCCTCATTGATTTTTAAGAAGAGCAGCAATATGCATTACAATATTTGGGTACACTTTATTTTTATATGGGTTAACATTCTGCTATAATTCATTTCATTCGTTCTTCTTGAGAAAGTGAAAACAAAGGGAAATTGAGGGTAATCTGAGGGGAATTTCCAACCAATATTTGAGTCTTGCAGTATCTTATTATGCAGCCCTTTCTTCCCATTATTATTTTTATTTTTTTGCAGATAAGTCATTTTGACCCAAATCCAGCATAAATAGCTTTCCACCAATTCCTAACTTAAGACAACTAAAATTTACAATCATGTGGCAGTATAAATTTTAAAATTACAGTTCGTACACCTTGACAATCAAGATAGTCTGAAGTACAAAAAAGTAAATTGCCCTTTAGCTGAATTACCTTTTTAAAATATCAGGCCTGGTAGTTGATCTCATTTAAAAAAAGAAAAAAAAAAAAGGAAAAAGAAAAAGAAAGTTTCTGGTGTTCTTCAAATACCTTCTGTAGATGTCATCTGCTAGTGAATAACAAGTGCAGGTTCCTAAGATTTTTCTTTCCCCCGACATCTATTCATGACATTCAACAGAGCTCTTTACATGGAAATGTTAAGAAAGAAAAAAAAAAAAACCGATAACTTCTAGGGGATTTACTGACTTTTAAATAAGTGTGTTATTTCCCTTTGTTTCAGATTCGAGGCACAAACTTCTGAATTTAAGCTCTGTAAGGCATAGTAAAAACCTCCAATTTACAAATAAGGAATTCTCTGTGGGTTAGAACTGCCGCATCAAGCAGAAACAAAAATAAAAAAATTAAAAAAAAAGAAAAAATTATCTGTAAACTGGTACACTGCAATGTGTTACGTGAGTCATGAAATGGCTGCTTGCCTTGGTATGCTGAAGAAAGGTTTCTGTGTTTTGTGTTTTGTTTTTGAATAAGACATGCCCAAGTCACCATAAAACTTGCCACAAGCCTCCATTACCTAGAGCATCAACAACAGGAGTCCAGTGGCACACGCTTAGAGCAATCACAATAGAAAGCATGAGTAAACTTTGTTTTATACAAAACTGAAAAGAATCCCTTCCCGCCCCTCGCCCCTTCAATAAAACCCCAAAGAAACAATATCAACAAAAAATCCTGTAGCTTCGATTGACTAGTGTGAATACAATTAGGTTTCTATGCCTTACTGCAGCTAGGGTGATCAATTATTTCCCTTCTCAAAAGAAGGGATCCTGTCATGCACCCCAAGATAAGCAGCAAAGCCACAAACCTCAATTCTGCATAGCAAATTCCATCCCAACTTCATAAAGACAAATATAACAATCTTTCCCTGTTTTGCTCAGCTTCTTCGAGCTTTGAGATCAGGTTTAATCAACTACATCTACTAGAGCTCTATTAAATAGAATATCTTGATTCCCTAAAACTGTAACACTTATGATCTTGTGATGAGGTTTTCTCTATACACACTGTAGGCCATCAAATGTTGCTGTTTACATTTTTTTTGTTTTTATTTTTGTATTTTTTTGTTTTATTTTTTGCTGCACCAAATTTAAGATCGCCCTTTCAGGCAAGCAGTGGTCTCTAGCTGTTAAAACGTTTCCTTAGTGGATCACAATAGCTTCTAAAACTGCCTTTCTCTAATAAAGGCCATCAGAGAGGTAATACTAAACTGTGCATTTGCCAAATAAGAATATGAATTGTATAAAAGCTCATATTCCAATCCTAGATCAAATGGCAAAAGTTCTACAAAGTTGGTTTCCATGTTTGTATAAAAGCTCCGACTGATTTTATGTATTTTGCTATGAAATTACCTTTGGGTCTTAGAATCAGTATACCTCTACTCAGGAATGTGCAAATGATTTTATACAGCACGATGCTAGTACCGCTCTGTACGATAGTAAGGTTTTTGTTTTTTTCTTCTTTTCTTAATGGAAAAAAATATCCCTAGTCAGAAATAAACTGACAAATTTACATTCTCCTCTCTTAAAAAAGTAAATAAAATAACATTATTCAAAATGTGAATTAGCTATAAGACATACAATACAATTACATAGATACATATCAATACAGCACATTCAATCTGCCAAAAAAATTAATGATTACAAAGCCAGTATGGATGCTGCAATATCAAGAGAGATGTATGTACAACGATTAGAGCATTCGTAATTGCACTATACCTACAGGCAGTCTGTTAATTAAATTACAGGTGCTTTCTGAGTAAAGAAAAAAAAAAAGTAACCTGTGTTGTTTGAGGCTGGGAGAATTAAGAATAAGAACATTTCATTACTATTCAGTAACTTTGGTACTCAAAAGCTGTTAATTTTCTCCCTCCCCTTTGTTATTCAAAAAAGTGATTTATATGAATGTTTAGACTAGTGCCCAATAGTACTGAGACTAGAGTCATGGCCTCATGCTAACTTCTCAGCAGCTTTAAAACAATCATGATTTCTTTCTTAAATCACATCTCGACTTAGGCTGCTTGTCAGAAGTTCATGATAAATGTGCTGTAGTTTTTGCATGTGTTGAAAAATTGCACATGTAAAATTTCAAACATCTCTCCTAGGAGGTTCAGTTACAGAGATACATGTTCAATGGAACACTGAGAGGTTACTTTTAAGTCCACAAAACTTCCTTAAGTTCAACTCAATCAGTCACCAGTTCAAGAAGATCCTGAAGGAGATAAACCAGCAGTCACTTTTTTTTTTTTTTTTCAAATTAAAGGTGTTAGGATAATACTATCAACCAACGTTCTTGGCAGACTTCCTTGAACTTAAAGGACATAAGAGCGAGTAAAACTGGCTTCCAATAAACAAGACATGAGCAGATTTCATGATAAACCACACAGGAGACTTTTCTACAGTGCTGATCTGGGGCACTCAACGTGGGACTGGACACTAAACCACGTGATCTGAAGGGCAAAGAAAAGAATGGACCATGAGCATCAGATTTACAGTTACCAATTATTTGGCAACTGGTAGGTTCCTTCTCAGCCAGTCATCTTCAGCTTCACAGTCTTACTCTCTTTAAGACACTGGCTTTTATTTTGTAAGGTCTTAATTTGTTTTGCTTTACAAAAAGCCAGTTTTGGCAACACATACCCATAATAAAAAAATCATTTAAAAATTGTGGCCCAATTGCAAAGGAAAAAATTTTAAAAAGTTGGAACCAAAAAACAAAAACAAAAAATAACCTATGAAAAGGCTCTGGGTAGCAGCCATTGGGGCAATGTAGTGTCTGTTGGCATGTTTTTTGGCATCTGTGATTTAAAGAAAGGGTGGAGGCGGGGGAGTCAGGGGCAGGGAATTCAGCAAGGAAGGGAGAAAGGACAATGGCACATGGATTTCAAAAGAAAGGACTCCTTCTGTGTGTCTTTGCCCATGCCTCCAACTTCTGTGCATTTCTCTGAGCAATCATGAACTATGCCTGAAGGTCAAAACTCAAAGAAATGACGCTTGACTGTTTGATGGGCATCCTTTGTCCCAGTCCAGTTAGACGAGACTATGTATCAAAAAAGAAACACTAGATGTGTATCCAGAGCAATACATTGAAAACCATAGTAGTAATACATATAATCCTTCAGCAAAAACTACAAAGTGTTAGGTTAAGCTGATGTAGGATGGCTTAAATCGAATGACATTGTCCTGACCATCATTCGAAAGAAAAACGTGACCAAGAATAGAACTAGGATAAAGGCCATTGTAACCTGGGAAAAAAAATCAGGAGGGATGTATGGATTAGGAAAAAGGGAAATCAGCTTTGTTTTGCTCAATAGAAAAGAAAGAGAGTAAGAGAGAGAAAGAGAGAAACGACTCTTTGTGAGTGCATGACTGAGAATTTAAAATACATTGAGTCACAAGGTTTTGCCTAAAAAAAAGATAGAGAGGAAATGTGCTGGGACTGTACTTCAGCATCCTCTGTTTTTCCTCTGAATAGTTTAAATAAAATCATAATATTTACTATAAACTCTGTGGACACGCTCACACAGAGTCCAGGACGGCAATAAATTAGTATTATGCAAATTGTTTTCCACAGAAATACAGTCCCTCTTGTATATCTTCAATAGCCCACCAGGGAAGGGAAGGGCAGGTTTCTGGGAGGCACGATTAGACCAGATTGTACTCCTTCAGGTTCAACTGGAGGATGGTGTCCTTGACGGCAGCAAAGACAAAGCGGATGTTCTCGGTGTCTGTGGCACACGTGAAGTGGGAGTAGATAATTTTGTCACTGTCTGGGTTCAGGTCCACGAACATCTTCAGGATGAATTCTCGAGCTGCTTGTGCATCTCTCTGGGGTCCTGTTGGCCAAGGGTGGAGAGGGATAGTTTGTTAGTTGATCCATTAATTCATTCAATAAATATTTATTGTGTAATTGCCAATGAGGACTAATCCACACTGCAGATGTGATCTGTTATAATCATGTTCCCGACCACTACTGTGTGCAATCTACTGTTATGTCACTTGCCTGTCTGTCTGTGCATCCACCTTCCTTCCCACCATAAAATGTGGACAGATGCGGACAGAAGATGACTTGAAGTCCAAGCTAAGTTTATTTTTCTCTCCGATTCTCTAGTTGATAGGGAACCACAGGCTCTTAAGGACAGTGATTGCTTACTTCTGTTCAACTGAATCAACTGTACATAGGTGCACATACAATAAAGCTGCCTCCGACTCTCTCCTCACTCTGTCCCCTAAAGACCCAGTACCATGGATTATCTGACATTGTTCAGATTTAAATCTCAGGAAAGAACACCTGCTTCTTATGGTCAGGTCCATCTTCAACAGTACTCTGCAGTCACACTCATATAGACTTCTGGGGTTTCAGAGCACACTATATTTACACAGCATTCAGTTCATCATGTGTAACGAGTAAAAAATTGGTTTGAACTTTTTTACATTTTTCTGGCCTCTCTTGTGGACCAAGCATTGTTGTAGATACTTTGAATAAGAATTGTGTTATATTAGCAAGATAGAAACTTAAATAAATAATTGTGCAATGGACTGAAATATGATACCAAAACAGAGGCAACAAAAAATAGATTAAAACTGGACTTCATCAAAATTAAAAGCATTTGTGTTTCAAAGGACATTATTAAGGAAAAGACAACCTAGAAAATAGGAGAAAATATATGCAAATCATATCTGTGATAAGAATTTAGCACCCAGAAAACATAAAGAACTGCTACATTTCAACAGAAAGGCAACCTGATGAAAAAATGGGCAAAAGACTTGAATAGACATTTCTTCAAAAGAGGGTATGTAAATTACCACTAAATACATGAAGAAATGCTCAACTGTCATTCATCTAGGGAAATCACAAGATCCCTTTCCCATCTACTAGAATGGCTATAATTTTTAAAAGGTGGAAAATAACTACTGGTAAAGAGAAGTTTGTACATTTGAGCACTAGTGGTGTGCATGTACAATGGTGTAGCCACTGTTGAAAATAGTTTGGTGGTTCTTAAAAAGCTGAGGATAAAATTCCCTTATGATCTAGAAATTCTACTTGTAGGTATATATCCAAAGGAGCTGAGAGAAGAGGCTCTTACAGATTAATGTTATGGCAGTATTAGTCACAACTTCCATTAAATACTCAACAGGGGAAAATACTCCAAGTATCCATCAGCTGATGAATGGTTAAGCCAAAAAGGGTACATCCATACAATGAAATATTATTCAACCATAAAAAGGAATGCAATTCTGACAGAAGCTATAAGATACATGAACTTAAAAATATTTTACTAAGTAAAATAAACCATAAAAGAACAAATACTGTTCTTTTAAGAGGTATCTTGAATTCAGAGAGACAGAAAGTAAAATAAGGATTACCACACATTCATCAAGAGGTAATGGAATATTATTGATTAACTAGGATAGAGAAAACATTTTGGGAATACCGGTGATGTTTGCATAGCATTGTAAATGTAATTGATGCCTTGAAATCAATTGGTACCATGGAATGTTTGCATAGTATTGTAGTTAAAAAATTACATTACTATGCAAATTACATCAGAATTAAAAAATTCATAACATAATATACCAAAAGCTATTAACTATATACTTTGAATGGGTGAATTATATCCTATGTGAATTATATTAATAAAGTTTTTTAAAGCTTATTTAAAAATTTTGATAAATATATTACTTTCAAACTTATTGTTTTAAATTAATAGCAACATCAATACACAACTACCTTTCAAGGGTTGAGCATATCTTAAATCCATCTTTGTGCCACTAAATGTCTGTGTTTCTCTCTAGTGATGCAAGTTAGTTCTATATCAGCAAGAAGGCTTGATCTCTTCTTTCCTGTTGGAAAAGACCCTCCTAGGATTCACCACTTGGGTTTTTTTCTATAAATATTCTTGTTATCTACTGGTTGGAATAAAGAAAACTCTTTGAGAACTCTACTGAGGGCCTGACCACCATTTCTAAAAAATGCATCCTAAGTTTCAGATAGCCAGCTTGAAAACTTACAAATCAACCTTGTTATATGCTGGGGCTCAGTACTATTGAGTAAACTGTGAAAACTTTTTTCTCATTTGTACAATTAACAAAAGTAATGGCTGAGTTTTTGACTTAGGGACCAGGAATTTAAACATCTGTAAGTAACTGAAAGGTTGGCATCACACCTTTCAGATGTGGCAGAGAGAAAGAAAAAGGTGCCCCAAATTAGGACTAAGGATAAACTTAGTGGCACAATGCTTGTCTAGCATGCATAACAAGGTCTTGGGTTTAATTGGCAGCGTGCGCGCCTGTACACACACACATACACATACACAGAGCCCTAATTAAAAATGACATTTTATATATAATACCCACAAATAGTTTAAATGTTTATGTATATATAAATATTTAATGTTCTATCTTTTCAATGTACTGTATAAGTTAACTTACTAGTTCCAGAGCAGTACTAAAAAATACTTTAAAAATTTAAATATATATAATGTTTGAAATTTTCATATTTCAAAACATTCACATGAGCACATATTAGAAGGAAAATGTTCATAGATTGTTGGAGCAGGGGAAGTTTGTCATTTTCATAAAAACACTGTGACTTGTGGCTGACCTACATCACTTTTTACTTGTCCTATTTGGGAAAGAAGGGACTATATATTTTTTTTTCTTTTTTATTTACCCTAAAGAATATTGGAACTAGATTCAAGTTTGCTGAAGTACACTGGAGTGTGTTATGTTTTTAAGTATAACTTATGTTATTTGAATAAACAAAAACTACAAAGAAAGCATTCTAGCCATCATAGCAGGAACAAAATTCCAGTCTATATAAACAATTTTGCAATTCAAGTCCATGTGGAAATTGTAATTTACCATCCTTAAGGGAAATACAGAAATAGCATTCATTATGATTAAGACCTAGAAGTGCAGAAATGTGGAAGTGTGAAATTTATAATACTATAAACATGCTCATTATGAAAACATTCCTGCAGAGTGGGCCTAGATTTTTTTCAGTCTTTCACTTGTCTAACAGGGACTTTGAGGCTCATGAAATAACAGCTGGTTTGCTTTGAGATTTAACAGAGTCAGCATCTTCTTTTTCTGTGGCCACATTTCTGATGAGGATTATGTGTATACAGGAGGAAACATCTTCAGATTTTAAAACATTCACAATGGGCACATATGAGAAGGAAAATGCTCACAATGATGGGGAATCTGGGGATTAGTGGACAAAGGAGATTAAAGGGATTAAAAGATGTGGCAGAGAGAAATGAACAGTTCTGCAAACATCCATCACAGAAAAATGTCCTCTTGCAGAACAATTAACCACCACATAGTGTGGCTCTGCCTGTCACTGCTTAGCAGCTTGAGTCTTAGGGGACTTAAGTTCAGTGGATGGGCAGTGCTATCTGACTCTTATGCAAGCACATCAGGAAAACAAGCCAGTCCAGGCCAGGCTACTATGTGTGGTACTGTATGGAGCAGTCACTATCTTGCACTGACTCTCATCAAATTCTGGGGGAAAAATAAAGAAGGCTCTCCTTCTGGTGTGTGAGGAAAGCACATGTGTTTTAGGTCTACACCTGAGTTTCATGCCCATGTTATTCAGGTAAATCTCGTATTTAATGCCAAGGGATACAGTCTCAGGCATCAGGACTTGCTTCCAGGAGAGTGGCAAGTGAAAAGGAGTAGAAGAGAAAAATGCTGTTCAGCCTGAGAAAGTATTTGTCTTTAAAAGAATAGCAAAGCACAAAGGAAGGTGTACTTGAAGAAGGGATGTAAACATACTGCTAACAAAAAAGAGCACGATCTCTAACAGTTGGTAACATCTGCAAATATGCATATTTCTAATTTACAAACCTTTAGATTCTTTTATTGAACATCTCATTAAACATAATATTTCTCTTCCAAAATGCATGTGGGATGAAAAGATGACTAAATCTCTATCCCTGGTATGTTTGGATCTTCACAGAAAGCTATGAAGCTGAAGTTATTCTCAAGTTTTTTTTTTCTTAGTTGTTGATGGACCTTTGTTTTATTTCTTTAAATGCGGTGCTAAGAATTGAACCCAGTGCCTCAACATGCCAGGCAAGTGCCTTACAACTGGGTCACAACCCCAGCCCAATTATTCTCAGATTTACAAGAATTATTTTCCAGGGAGTTTTCAAAAGTACAAAACCACTGTTGAACTGATGCCCATTCTGTATACCTTCTGGTGATAATGTAACTTAAAAATAATCTCTTCTCCTATTGTTACATATGATTGTATGGTACTTTGGGGTTTGGCTTTTCTCTGTGCCAGGTTCTGTGATAAGAGATTTACATTTACATATGACTCCATTCAATCCTTCTCTTCTCAGGAGGAGTAGTTAAATAAACTTGTCTAAAGCAACACTTCCAGAGAGTGGCAGAGATGGAACTCTGAGACATTTGAAGTACATGATCTTAATGACTGTCTGGACCAGGGCTTGGCAAACACTCTGTAAAGGGCTGAGACTGAATATTTTAGGCTTTTGCAGACCATTTGATCTCTGTCACAATTACCCACTTCTGTAGCTGCAATGTGAAAGGAGTCATGGGAATAGGTGTGGGTGTGTCTCAATAAAACTTCATAAAAACAGATGGCAGACCAAAGTTTGCCCCTTCTGATCCAGATTCAAGCATTTACAGAACAGTGACTATGACTCATTTGGTTTAGAGTGGCTGGACATGGATTACTTGATCAATCAATTAACAAGTATTTTTCAGAGAGAGAGTGAGTTGTTCAGAATTCACAGTCTAGTTAGGGAAGGCAAAAATCTACTTCTAAGAATGAGGTAAATAATGCAAAGTCATGTGAGTACTGAACTGGGTGCTACAGATTCTAAGAGCTGCATCTAGAGCTTAAAGGGCAGCTAATATCACTATAGATGGTGGAACTTCACTAGGCCATGAAGTCCCACCAGAACAAATGTTTCTGGAATATTCATTGTGTACGGCATCATGCTAAATGTCATATATATAATATCTATTACAGTTTATAAAACAATCCCACAAGTTTGGCCCAAAGACTCAGTAAAATCAAGTGACTTTGATTATAGTTCTATAAATAAGAAGTGTCAGAATTGAGATTTGAACTTGGGTAGATTCAGAGATTGGCTCTTGACCATAAAACTGTGTTCTTGCTCTAGACAAAGGCAGAAGTGGATTATAAAAAAAAAAAAATGAAAGGAGAGAAAAAGAAAACTATAATGGCTGAGAGACAACTGGTCAAAACTATTGAATTGTTCCTTTCTCTGATCTGGTTATTTTAAAACATATGAGAACTTGTTTTCTTTTTTTCTGTAACTTTTTTAGCATTAGGGAACACAGTGTTTTGTGCTGTGTCATTATAAGAAAGAGCAATCAATAACTAGTACTTCAACAATCCCAATGCCCAGGCTCTGCAGCAAAGGTGCTTACAATGTGCTAACTCTTGCATGGGTGCTGGCATACATAACCCATGCTCAGCTATGGGCTGCCTGAACAGGGTGGACTTACCATCATATTCTGGGAAGTAGTCAACTAGGTGGGAATACATAATTTTCTCCTCTAGAAGATCTTTCTTGTTTAAGAACAGAATAACTGAGGAGTTCTGGAACCAGGGATATGTGATAATTGTTCTAAAGAGTGCTTTGCTTTCTTCCATTCGGTTCTGGAAAAAAAACAAACAAACAGAAAAAACAAGGAGTGAATTACGACGTGATGACTCAGTCTGTGAGTTTGTGTTATTTCATATGTCCAACCCATCTTCTGAATGCATCCTATTTTTATAATCATGAGATGAGCTTGTCAGGACTTACATGCAATTAATTGTGACAAACAATGGCTGTTTTCATTATGCCAACTTTCAGACTGACAAGCACAAGAGAATAAAAGTAACAATGTCTGGTGAAAAACTTTTAAGGCTGAAAGAGAAAATTAAAATCTAGATAATCATGTTATATTCTGATACTCGGTCATAAATTTTCACCAAATTTCATTCATGACCAAATACTTAAGATCTGAATTAAGAACTAGATATAAGGCTTGATTTTGCATTTCCTAAACTATATTTACTTGAAGTCTCATGATTTATTTAAAACATTCAAAATAAAGTTACTTCTTTGCCCAAAGCATATCTGGATTTCTAAATTATTCCTACTAGAATCATGTGTATGTGTGTGCATACACATAAATATATACCTACATCTCCCTTGATAAGCAACACGTGGGGGAAAAATTTTAATATCATATATTTCCTGTTTATTGATGCACAACACTTTTTCCTTATGATACGCTATGATTTTCATACACAATGTGGAGAAAACACATAGTAACATTTGTGAGAAAGTGTTCTTATCTCAGGTTATACTTTCAAGTTTATATTGATAATAGAAACCTTAAATGGATACTCAAGGAAATTAGTCAGTCTGTTCTGTAGAAATGAAGACACTCATCACTCTTAGGGGACCATTAGCCAAAAGCCAGAGAATCCAACATTCTTCCTAATCTGCTTATCACTCTTCCTCTCAGACACATTCACCTCTACATCATTTCCACCCTCTGGGAATAGGTTTGGGGAATTCCCTTTTCTGAGGATTTTAGAGCCAAGATGTGTGGACATACCTCCTCCTGGACACTCTGTTAAGACTGCACTTTCCAATTGCCTTCCTTAGTTCCACATGTGATGACTGAGCTTTCCCAGCAATGGAAAAGCCTGTCTGGAATAGTGCCCACATCTGCTGCTAAAGGGTAGCTCTGTGGTTTAAGCCAGAATACTGAGTTCCCTGACACATGGGCTGGTTCAGGCCTGGGCTCTGACCCGGGTCTATGGCAGGAAGAGCTCCCCTTCCACTGAGCCAGTCAACTAGGGCTTTTGCTGGGAACTGTAGAACAAAGAAGAACTTTGCCTTTATGGAAAATATGGAAGAGAAATGACATAGTCTCAGAAGCCACATTGAAACTGAAAGATCAGTTTTTTTCTAAGCTGGTCTCACTCATCTGGTTCTAATAGGTCACGTAGACCTGGATTTTCTAGTAATATCAGTAAGTATCCTTTCTGTTTTAAGCTAGTTTGAGTTGTATTCATCTATTTTTTGTTACATGAAATGTTGGATACATCCCCCTTCCAACATGTATAAGGGAATGAATGATATTTCAGGGATGACCATTAAGACTGAGGGCTCAAGCTATTGTTATTTTCTGCTCAGATTTTCCCCTTCTACTGGAGGATGCACCTTAACTTTCATAGTGCAGGGCTACAAGGACCAAAACACTCTTTTGCATAACTCTCTGACTGCCTTTCCAGGAAATCTCTGGGGGAATTCACTCACTATGTGCAATTTTCCAGATATTGAATATGTCTTGTTAGTTTTTCTTATAAAGCATGCCAATTCAAATCAAGATGAAATGGCCCACTTTTCCAAAGCAGTGCCTTACAAAAATTAGTAAAGTTGATCATCATCAATTTCTTCAACCTTTTGACTTTGTGCCTGTGATTGCTTAGAAACAAGTGGGCTGATATAGTGAAAGGTTAATTCATAGCTCAAGAGGCAGGACTTATCTTGCTGCATATATTTGTATTTTACATAAGTGACATGCATAGTCTTTTAAAAAAAATGATGCAATGTGATTTTTGACACAATATCTTTATTTATTTTTATGTGGTGCTGAGGATTAAACCCAATGCCTCACACACGCTAGGCAGGCGCTCTACCATTGAGCTACAACCCCAGTCCATGAATAGCCTTTAAACATGTTTTTACTCTCTACAACCAGTGATTAAAATTTTTTATATGTATATTTTTAGTTTTTCAATTGACCTTTATTTATCTATGTATGTATGTATGTATGTATGTATCTATTTATTTATATGTGGTGTTGTGTTTCACACATGTCAGGCAAGCACTATAACATTGAGCCACAACCCCAGCCCTAGAGATAAAATTTTAAGGCATGGAAATGATATTATCTGACAAATGATACCTCTTAGCTTCAGATTTTATAGGCTGAATATTTTGATAATGAAGAAGAATAAAGCCCCCAATAATTGAACTAATTAAGAAGAATCATCTGAAGAAAATTAGATATTAACATTTCTGACAGGAGCGTTACATTCCTTTTTTTTGGTGGTGGTGGGGTGGTACCAGGGATTGAACTCAGAAGGCACTCAATCACTGAGCCATGTCCCCAGCTCTATTTTGTATTTTATTTAGAGACAGGGTCTCACTGAGTTGCTTAGCACCTCAGTATTGCTGAGGCTCGCTTTCAACTCTCAATCCTGTCTCAGCCTCCTGAGTTGCTGGGATTACAAATGTGCACTGCCATGCCTGGCTCCTTTCTTCTTATGGCTAAAGAAATTCTAGAAAGATGTACTGCAGGCTTTGAAGAATCTTGGTCTAAACAGTGATGTGCACACCCTGGCATCTATAGTGAGTCCCCAAAGAAAGACTCATCAATATACTGAGCCTCCAGAAGCAGGTAGTGAGCTCCCAAGGGAAGGGCCCTCCCTATCCCTTTTGTTGGAATCCCTCCAGGGTAAGTAATTGGGCCCCTGTCAGGGACAGGGGTTCTGACTGCATCAATACAGAAGAAGGTACCTCTAAGTCTCTGATTAATAGTCTCCAGTGATGTCAGTTGGAAGGTGGCCTTGTACTAGCTTATGGGACACTGGCTAGGAGAATCTCTCCTGAGCCCAGTACTGTGTCCAGTCTGCTGTGCCCAAGGCCACTCTGGAGGCAGAGCCTGTTCCCCATCTGCTAAAGCTTTAGTCAGGCATGTACTTGGAATTTACTCTAGGATATTTCCCTGTTCATCATGTGCCCGGTAGACTGGGGCTTTAGCATACTAGAAGAAAGCTAGAAAGCAAAAGGGGACAACTGTTGGCAGCGTCAGCACCAAGCAGCCTTCAATCAGCTCTCCAGGTGATGCTGATGGCCACTGGTCTTTGTGAGGCACGATGCTGAAGACCAGCTTCTCTAAATATCATTCTGAATCACCAGGGGATCTTGTTAAAACAAGGATTCTTATAGCATTTTTCTTCTTTTTTGGTACTTGGGATTAAAGCCAGGGGGTGCTTTGCCACTGAGCTACACCCCTAATTAATTAAATATTAATTAATTATTTAATCTTGAGATAGGGTCTCAGGTTATTGCTAGGTTGCTCAGCAAGAACCTGGAACTTGTGATCCTCCTGCCTCGGCCTCCCATGACACTAGGATTACAGGTGTGTGCTACTGTGCCTGACAGCACAGGGCACTTCTAAAAGGCTCCTGGGTAAGGCAGATGTTGCCACCATAGTCACCTTCCACCTGAGGTAGAAGGTATAAAAAGCTTGCTGAGCCTTGATAACAAAGAGGAAGGTGATGCTCTACCCCATTCTCTTAATAAGCAGTCCTAGTTGATACATAAGCAAGTATCTGAGTCCCGAAATACAATTCTAATCATGCTGGCTTCATTCTTTTTGTGCAAGAACTACAATTCTTTCTTCATGCTATGTGATGTGTTTTTCATTCTGTAGTGAAAATTCCTTATGTTAACCCCCAGAATATTTACAAACCAATATGCTTTGTATCAAAGTCTTGGACTAAATCCGAAATGGATTTGCACAATGCCTCACAAGGTAGTGGAATATGCAGAGTGTGTAGCATAATCTCCTCTGCTCAGTAAAAACTGAAATCTAGAGGGAATGGCATGTCCTAGGGGACTCTGTGGCACTTGTTCTTTAGTAGTTTGCCAGGCCATGAGGTTTTGAAGAGAAAAACAAAGGAGCAATGTATGAGACACAGGTGTGTCCAATGATAAAAAACAGGGAGTTTTTTGTTCATTTTGAAGACATGGCAGTCTGAGGGGTGGTACTAATCCCATATTCTCTTTTCTTAGAGATTTAATAGTTGGGAAATGTACAAAAGTATCTGGGAGGATACCAACAAAGGTTTTACTATTCAAAATAGGGGGCTCCCTGTTAAAAGAATGGCCTGGCCTAGACCTGGGCACAAAGAGGCTTCCAACTGCTGTCACCAGACCCATCACTTCTCCTGAGCCCAATGAAGGGTGGTTTCAGCACAGGCGAGAGAACTATAGCAGGGACAGAAAAGAAGGTCCTGCTTGGTCTCTGTAAGTCACGTGTGAGACACCACAGGGGTCTGACTGGTCTCTATTAAGTCATCTGCCTCAAGTATATGTGGCCACGAAAATGTCAGACTTACCCAGCCCACACTGAGAGGCAAGGCACTTGTCCTAAGGGTTGGAACCAGCAAGTGGCAAGCACTAAACCAGGAAGAAGCATTTATACCATTCCTAGCTGTGGGAGGACAGCCAGGTTCCCTGCTCCCTGTATGTAATTGTAGAGAGCATGGTGACCCATGAAAATCCTCCCTTGAATAGTCTGATCAGAAAGCCCTGATCAAGTCATAAATGAGGGTTCTTACACCTCTAGTTTTTAATAAATCAATTCTCAAGTGTTCAAATCTACAAAAACTACTATTTAATGAAATCTCTGGCAAAAATATGATTGTCTAACACTGCTTACAGTGTAAAACTCCAAATTTCAGCCTGGTATTCACAGTTTGCCATGGCCTGATTCCCTGTGTACACCTTTAATCTGAGCCCCTATACCAAAGTTTTCCTTTCCAGATGAAGAGATCCAATGTCAATATCATCATTTAAGAAAGAC